GTGAAGGGAGTTACTTGCAAATAGAGGAGCAAATTGCAGAATCTTTTCTCCTTTGAAACCAAGTGGAAAAGAAAACATAGTAAAATCAAAAATGCATTTCTCAAAAAAAACAACAAACTAATAACAAAGGTTGAAGGTTTCCGTGGGATTTTACAAGCAGGACTATTGAGCCAGTTATTTATCAACTGAACATATATGGAAATGAAATTAAGATTTTGGTTCTTAAAGTACTGTTTATTTCAGTTCTCAAGTCATTCTCTTCTCTCTTTTCTATTTTAGACAAACACGAAACTAAATTAAAAGGTGTAATATATTTTCAAGCTATTGAAGAAGTCTATTATGATCATCTAAAAAATGCATATAAGGTAAACTTTGTTATTGCTGTTTTAACCACATATCATAGAGCAATACCCAGAGTATGGTAACTGCTGTGAAGTAAAAGGGAGAGTTGACATTATTCGAGGGAAAAAGAAGCACCAACAAAAAACCAAAACAAACATTTAAAAAAAAAAAAAAAAAAGAAAAACTGGAGTGGAGGAAAAGGAAGAGGAAGCTAATCAGTGATTAACACTGGGGGTTGTTTTAATACTGATGAAAGCAGAGATAAGAGTGTCTACCTGGAAACTGGGATTTGCTGCAAAGAGGTCCTTAGTCCAGTGGCAGGACCACTGAAATCAGTGGCTTAGGCAAATCAAGGGATGCCTCTGTCCCAGGGAGGGAGTTAACTGGCACCTCCTGCCTCTCACCTGTAATTTAAATGAGTTGTGTGTGACTCAATGGATTTGTGAAAGCCACTGGGCAGTGGGGGGCGGAGTTTAGTTATCTGGGCATGAAACAACAAGGTAGAACCCTGTATTGCTGTGCAGAAGTCTAGTGGAAACACGCTGTAAAAAGTGTTTATGGTGGATACAAACACTTTAAACACATCTGCTGCACGATAAGATGCAGTGGTACAGCACTTTGCATTTTATCATCTTCTTAACCCTATTCATAAATATCCCTGTAGGCAATTTCACTTCTGGTACCAATAAATGGCTTTGATTTCATTCTTTTTGATACCCCTCTTTGTGTTCTATTTTAGAGTCCCAACCCGTTGCTCACTTTCAGCGTCAAGACCCATGACCGCATATACTATATGGTTGCTCCTTCTCCAGAAGCCATGAGGATATGGATGGATGTCATTGTCACGGGCGCGGAAGGCTACACCCACTTCATGTTGTAATAAGAGGGGAGCAGTAGGGCATATTGCAATAACATAACAAATGAAGTTAGCCATATGTAGTGAAAGCTGAAAAGCCAGTGAGTACCCTGAAATGTCCTCCTTATGATGTGCACCCAAAACCTGACTGAGAGGGGTTTACAAATGCATTGAAAAGGGGGGGGGGTTGTTACCTGTTTTAGTTGATATTTATAGGAACAAAAGAGCTAAAGCTGTTGAGAGAATCGTAGTGCTCCAAAACGGATAATCAGGCAATTTTCATTAAACCGTCTTGATTCAGCGACAGGTTTCTGCAAATTCTCTTATATGGAGAATGCCTTTGTAAACTCTTACTGAACTGTTTACAAATGTGTGTGTTGTCATCAAGTGTGCAAAAAAATTCTAGTACTGGAACAAAAAAGGTTAAATAAGCATATATTTTAATATGCAGCATTTGACATTTATAGATGATTAGGTGATTTTTTAAAAAGTTTTAATCAAGTATTTTATAAAAATACAAACAAAAAAAGCAACGCTAAGGTACACACAGTTCTTGCCTTAGTAGTTAAGTGTCACAACAGAGCCAAAGAGTTATAAGATTCCAGTATCATAACGTCTTCATATTGTTAGTCCTACCTAACTTCCTGTAAGGGGACAGTGCCAAATTCCTTCACGACTTTTAATGTAATTAAATTGTTATGATATTCTGCGTGTTCAAGCACTCAGAGGCACCAACTGTATGCTTAAAGTCTGCATCTATGGAGCTTGACAAAAAAAGAGAAGGATAGCCTTATAAAGGTGCAGTTGTTTTCCACAAGGCTGTTAAATGAAACACATGTATTCACTTCCTCGTAAGGAGCGGTTTTTTTAATCTCCACTGTTGAATAGAATGAGCTGATTCTGGACCCTACAGCAATTTTCTTTTATGTAGTAAGGTCCCAGTGTGGTTCTAATCTTACTCTGTGCCAAGTGAACCCTCTACTGAAACCTCTCAAACATTGCCCACCTTGAAGCCAGGACCACAATCTCTACCTATCTAAATTCTTTGGAGCCAGGTTCTCGGCCCCAGAGAGTAGGTTTGTTGTTTTTGTTTAAATTATATCTGCACATAATAATGCTGTCAAACAGAATAAAAAGAGAGAGGCAAGTTCTAAGAGTTCACACTAAGCAGTATATGAATAAAAACCCTGAAATTTTTAAGTAGCAGGGATTGAGATTCCTCAAACAACAAAAACACTGAGGGTGCAGTAGTCTCCCATTTTAAAATCGCTTCGAAGTCCTTGACTAATATTGCAAAAATGTAAATTATTTAATTGAAACTGAACTTCAAGAAAGTCTTTTATATTATGACTTTAAAGAGGTTCAGTTTCTGTAATCGAAACTCACGTGCTCTGTGGTTTGTGTACTATAAGAAAGCACATTAGCCTTCTTTTTTTCTTGACAAAAAGTTAATGGCTTTTGATGGAACAAACTGAAAGCAGAATAGAAGTATCCTGGCAGAATATTTTTTTTTATATTTTTTAAACCCTATATCTAATGAGTGGGTTGCATTTTTTCTGGTATACACAGGTGATGTGGTTGCTCTAGCATGACAAACATCAGTTTTGACTTGACTCATTAAAGAAGGGACTATTATCACAAGATAATTGTTATCATCTGTGCAGATCACAGCCTGTAATCTAGGATTTAAAACACTATCAGAAATAAACTGGTTTTGTTTATACAATTATTATTTTTCCCTGATGTATCTTGATTTTACTCCTAAGTATGGTTATAAAGGTTTTCTAATAATAACTTTTGTATCCTGCATGATGCAATGAAGGCATTTCAATAAACATTTTTAAAAATACACTTGTTTCAAATATTTTCTTGCTGCTTTATCTTGAGACATTTCTGCTTGTCTATTAAATAGTCATATACAGTTGTGCAAGCAATAATGTGTTTCATAGTAATGCTTAATTGAGCTGTTCCCTGTGTTTCCCCATAAAAGAGCTATGCAAAATAATCTTTCAGATGGCAGTGAAATTAGGAGCATAGTCTGTTTATTGCATGTATATATTATATTACCTTTTTCATTTTTTTTTTGAGTCTGTTTGAAAAATTTATCACCAGACTTGGATGTGGACAATTTTTTTTGTTAATCTGCAACCAGAAATTGCTCAAGTTTGAGGATTTCCTAGTTTTCACAGTATTTCACTTAGGACATGACTTGAATTGCAGGAATTATTAGCTTGTTGGGGAAGTCCATGCAGTTTATTATTTATTCCTTTTTTATTTCTTGTGATTTATTTCATTTCTATTTGCAGTCGTCATCGTAAAGTGTGATGGACTTTGTAGTGATGGACGTCGGGACACTGTAAGCAAAGCATGGTGGTAGGCACCATCTTTTATGATCAGTCTTCAAGCTCTCCAACCTTAATTCCCATGGGAGTCAAGCCCCTGCTTACCCTGAAGGATCTTGGCCAATTGCAAACCGTGTAGGCTGCATTTTAAAAACCTCAGCTGCTGTGTCCCATGTCCCATGGCTGGTTGGACTTGATCATGGAGATCTTTTCCAACCTAAATGATTCAGTGATTCTGTGATTGCTTTCTTCCTTTCTGAGTGTCTGCTACAGGCTGTATGTAAAAGGTACAGTGAAGAAAGACCTTCTTTTGGCTACTGTGCCCATACAGCCAATGCTGAGGAGAGAAGGTGAGGAGGTGTGAACCTGTTCGGGGGCCCTGCAGGCTGACAAACAGCCACACACCGATGCCGCTGGAGAGGTGACTGAGGGAGGGAAGCTGGCATTTCAAATGCCCTTTCTGGCTGTCTATAAGGGGTAGGTAATTAGTGTAAGATTTTTTATACGTATATATATGTATATATATAATTACAAAATGTATCCCAACAGATACAGAACCCTAACAGATTATACCTACATATGGAGAGGCAACCTGAGGTACAGGTGCATCCAGCCCTGCCTGATACCGAGGCCCTCGAGGAGGGTGCCCTCTCCAGAACACACACAGGATCAGAGAATGGGTGATGTTGGAAGGGACCACAGTGGATCAACTGGTCCAACCTTCCTGCTCAAGCAGGGCCATCCCAGAGCACATGGCACAGGATTGTGTCCAGACAGTTCTTCCATGTCTCCAATCAGGGAGACACCACACCCTCTCTGGACAATCTGTTCCAGTCTGTGGTCACCCGCACAGTAAAGTTCATCCTCGTGTTCAGGTGGAACTCCTGTGCATCAGTTTCTGCCTGCTGCCTCTCATCCTAGTGCTTGGCATCACCAAGAAGAGCCTGGCTTCACCCTCCTAGCATCTCCTCTTCAGGTATTTATGCACATTAATGAGGTCCCCTCTCAGTCATCTCTCCTCGAGGCTGAGCAGGCCCAGCACCCTCGGCCTTTCCTTGTAATAGAGATGCTGCAGTCCTGTAATCATTTTTTGTTGCCCTCTGCTACACCTGCTCCAGGAGCTCCACGCCTCTCTTGCCCTCAGGAGCCCAGAACCGGCCACAGCACTGCAGATACCGCCTCACCAGGGCTGAGCCGAGGGGCGGGATCACCTCCCTCGACCTGCTGGCAGTGCTCCCCCTCACGCACCCCAGGATTCCGATGGCCTTCCTGGCCACAAGGGCACACCGCTGGCTCAGGGAAACACGCGCCTAGGGAAGCGCACACTCAGCGCTTTCTCACTGACAAAACGCTGTTTCGTGCTTCCCGAGGCGGTTCCCGGCACTGACCGCAGGGATCCCCGCCCGCCTCACGGCCGGGGCAGGCGGGAGGCGGGGCGGCGCCTGCGCGGGGCGGCGGCCATGGCGGCCATGGCGGGAGCGCTGCGGGCCCTGGTGCGGGGCGGCCGCGGTGCCTCGGCCATGGGGGTGTCGCTGTCACCGCCGAGCGCGGCCCGGGGGCTCCCGGGTAAGGGAAGGGCCCCGGGGAGCTCGGAGGAGAAGGGGTGTCAGCCGCAGGGCAGAGGATGTGGGTCGGTGCCGGCTGTGCTGGCCGCGGGGCGGTTCTCGGGCAGCTGGGGGTGACACCCCTTCAGCGCCGTCTCCATAGGGAACGGCCCGAGCGCGTCCTCCGGGGTTGGGATGGGCATGTTAAAATTCGCTCCCCCCTGGGGGACGGCGCTCCTGACGGGTTTCCCGCCCCCTGCCAACCCTGCCCGGGGGCGGTTCGGTGTCTCTGTGCACAGGGCAGGGCAGCTGCTTTCCCGCGTGTGTTTTGGGGGCTCTAAGCTCCTCCCGCCCCTGCTGCGTTTTGAGGAGCCGGAAATCAGTGTGCCAGTTCCTTTGCTTGGGTGTGAAACTCGCCTGCGTGCAAAGCTTCACCAGGCACCTGAAAAACTTTGCTGGCGTCCACTTCTGAGTGAGATGGTCCTCTGGCAAAACGCATAATGTCCCCCACACCTTCTTCCAGATTCTGTGCTTGTCTGACTTGTTGAGTTTATTCATTGCCTTAAATTTGACAGAAAAGTGATGAACCTCATCTGAGGCTGCTCAGTGAGTAAAATTTACTTGCCACTAAGGGTGCACGTTTCGTAGCTGCATTAAAACAAGACTACAGTGGGGTTTTGCTGCTGTTTTTTCTGTGGGTTTATAACGATAACATGAGCAGAGTGTCTGTTTGTTTGAGTGTGTCTTTGGGTGCTCTGGGACCCGGCTAAGCAGCAGTTCCTGCTGGCAGAGCTGGTCCTGCCTTACCCCTGTAGCTCGGGAGATTGCATGAAACCAGGTGTGGACAGGGTTTAGTCCGTGACCTGTCACAGCTGCATTACTCTGCTGCTGTCGGCAGTGGGTAGATTGCAGTGCAGGAGCATTCCCAAAGTTGCTCAGAGGACTTCTTTGGTTTTGACGTATAGCACTGGTCTCAGTCACAGTTTCTGATGTTCATAACACAATTAAAATTGCACAGGGATTCTGATATGAAGAGAATTCCACAGCATCAGGCAAGATTCCTGTGGTACTCCTATAGCTGTCTTCTGTCTGTAACTTGGTTTTATAAACACTGAGTACCACCTTACACCCTTCAAAAATGCTTCCCTGCTCTTAGCAAGGTCTTCCACTGAAATCAGGAGGAGAAATTACTGGGTAGCTACTCCATTATTTATGGTTTTGTCTGTCTAAAAGGAAATCAGTGTTACTCCAGTGAGCTTTGCTTTTGGGTTGGCTGAGGTGGTTGCTTTAGGATTAGGATTGCTGCTGGTGCAGTAACTTGTTAAATGCAGAACAGTTTGTGGAATAGCTTAGACAGTGGTTGTGTCTTGTAGCTGCAGTTTAAACCCTGCCCAGTGTCAAAACAGCTTGAGGACACCTCCAGGGTGCTGCGGGAAGGAAAACCAGTGACTTCAGAGATGGTTATCAGGGCTTAAGTGAGAGAAAAGTACTCCTAATTATTTTTCTGTTAAATTTAACACTTCTTGATGTATCTTCTCTGTTACTAGCAGGCAAAGTCACTCATTTAGTGACAGAGACACACAAACCGAAAGCCTTAGCGTGGATGCATCCAAATACCTTTACTGTGGCATTTATTCTCCTTTATAATAATTTATGCATCAGTAGGATAAAGAATTGTCCTGTTGTGTGAGGAGAAATTTAATGGTTCTAATCTGTAGTTCAAATGATATAATTTGTTAGACTCTAGGAAAGTGCCAAAAACATCCTGCATCTGTTACGCACCCACATTTATTCAGGCACGTGCAAGTTTAACAACAAACAGACCCCCCCAGGCCCCTTGAATGTAATCTCTCTGATAGTGACAAAACAGAACTCAAGGCTGCACTGTGATACTGTCGGGGTCTGGTTCTGCAGTATTTATCCTGTTATTATGCCACTAGGAAGCCCTGAAACATTATATCGGGTTGCATAGTTTCTGTACCCCGCTACTGAATAACTAGTCTTCTAATCTAAGAATTAAGCGTATCAAAGCCTTAGAAGACTTGACCAAGCTTTTGATTTAACAAATTACCTTGCCGAGTGGTATAATAGAGTGGATTAAATCTCCATAACACCTCTCTATGAATTACTTGTTCCTCACCCACAGCAGAGGTACAATTGCCTGCTAAAGTTAGATTAAATACTGTAGCAGCTGCTGAGATCAGCATAGTTATTAATTAGTTAACATTTCCTTTGTTAATCCTCTTTTCTTGCTTGAAAACTCGAGGGGGGTTGGTTGATGTTTATTAATGTGAATATTAGAGTCCAACCTAGTGTTTGTTTTCTAAATGTGTCTCATTTGTTATTTTGAAGTAAACCAGAACAAAATAATTTTAAGTTTATGCTGATAGGAAAGCTTCTCACTCTTATAATGTGTTGCAGATTTCTTTGACAGAATTTGCACAAAATTATTTTTCATTTTTTTAATATTTGCAAACTGCTTGGAGTTGCAATGTGCTTTTTTTCATTCTGGATAAACAGAATAATCCAAGTACTGGAATAATGTAACCTCTCCAGCAAGAATGCACCAGACCATGCAATAGGATATCTTTTGAAAAAGCATAAGAAAATCACAGCTCTACAGAGGTCAATTCTGTTTCTTCTTATGGGATGTGTTTAATGTGCTGCTCTTTGTTTACAGAAAATGTAGCTGTGCTTCCTATCTGAGAAAACGGCTGATGTTATCATAGCATAGTGTTAAAATGATTCTTTTTCTTCAGTGTTCCTGGCAATATTCTTTAACTTAAGCAGAATAGCTGTTGAAGATATCATGAAAAGGGCTGGATGTTACTTATTTCATTTGGTTTTGAGCAGTGCTAATGTTATGTTCATCGTGTTAAAAAAGTTAGTCACAACATTCTTTCCCAATTCTTGATTTTGAACTTCCCCACTGTACCTCTCTATATATGGTGTGGGTCTCGGATTTAGATACAGCTGCAGTTTTGTCCTTTAGTTTTGATTTTCATGGAAAATTTGTCACCTCATGTACTTGTAAACTTAACATTGCACAACTTACTCTTGTCCCAAAATTTTACTTTTTTGAAATCCAGTCCAGAAAAAAACCAAAAAGATGGTATAAAACATGAGGACAGATGAAGTCTAGGAAATCTTAGCATTTGTCTTCCGTCAACAACTTTACTAATTGCTGAGTGAACTCTGTATATGGTTGGCATTTAATAAGTTGAGAATGAATCACAGTCAGCTTTCCCTTTCAGGTTCATCAGTACTTGTCAGTCATTAAATAATATAGGACATGCTTTTTTCTTCTCGGGCCAAAATCTCTTGTTTTCATGTAATGTGCTCATATTTCCTGAACCCTAGGTTTATAAAACACTAATATTTCTGCCAAGGTTATCATGATGATTCTACTAAATAGCTTTTTTTATTAGTTTGCAGGCTGAAGTCATCAGTCAGCTTTCTTACTCGACCTGATCGACCCAACCTTGCTTATCATAAAGTAAAAGGCAGGAGTCCAGGGGTTATTTTCCTTCCAGGCTATAATTCAAATATGAATGGTGAAAAAGCAACTGCCCTTGAAGACTTTTGCAAATCACTAGGTCATTCCTTCATCAGGTACATGCAGTGTATTGTTCTTGAGAAATGTAAACTCTGGCATTTGGATTGGAATGTGTCCTGTGCTGTAGATAAGCTACGAAGTCTTTCTTCTGTTTCCAAACTTAGGATTTCTGTCTGTAGGGAGACTGAGGTAAATTGAGAGAATGTATTCTGAAAGCAATTCAGAAAACTCTCTAATATAAATTTCTATAGTCTAACCAGTGCTACATGTTACAATCAGGATATAGGCACAGCAATGAAAAAGGAAGGACCTGGAATTCTCTTTTTTTAAGTTACCACTGTCAGCATGGTCCTTACCTGCCAAGTCTGACTAAGTTACCCTGTGTCTTCTGTAGTTTTGGAAGAACATGCCCGTGGTCGATGATGCCATCCTTTGATAGACCAGGCTGAATGCTGAGTGTCCTAAATTTTCCTGTTTGGCTACAGTGTTTGAAAGAGAGTTTGTACATTTTAAAAATACCTTTAAAATTGAAGTATTTGGGATTTTTTTGTCTGTAAGAAAAACTGCCTATTCTTGTAAGTTAAGATATTATTATATCAAATTATAAGAGAACACTGCATCACTTAGTTGTGTATGCTGTATTTAAACCTCTTTTTAAGTAATGAGCGGGACCAAGTAAGAAAATATTTAATGTGTTAGGTTGTCCCCTGTCAATTTGATTAAGCAGTAGTGTTTAGTTAGTGTCTATGTTACTGTAGACAGTACTATGACTTTCATTTTGATGGTTACTTTTTCAGATTTGATTATACAGGATGTGGAAGTTCAGATGGTATCTTTGAGGAGTGTACAGTTGGGAAGTGGAGAAAAGATGTCCTGTCTGTACTGGATGAACTTACAGATGGACCACAGGTAATATTTTATTTTAAATCCTTTTTTTGCCCCTCGAGGTAGAACATTGATCAAAGATATGCCGTAATAGCTCTGGCAGACAGTAGCTTCTGCTGAACAACTGACACTTGCTCACTTTCAAGCTGAATCATTTGAGAGGTCCTATTTGTAGAACCTTTTTTGCAAACAGGTAGATCGTAAAATCACGGAAGCGTGCGTTGGCAGGACCTCCTGGCAGCTGTTTATTAGAACCTCCTGCTCAGAGCGGGGCTGTCATCCCAGAGAGTCTGAGAAAGCCTCATGATGGAGGTGCCACCTGACAGGGGACAGGGAACTGTTCCAGTGCAGTGCAGCCCTCTTAAGAAAAAGTGTGTTGCTGTCCCATGCTGACACATTAATTAAAGGATTTGCAGGAAGGTTACAAGCTAAGATACTCTATATGATTAAATAGCTTTAAAAAAAAAAGTCAAGCAGAAGCAGTATTTGACTTCTTCACTTACTTTAGAAATTACTGTGAGAAACTTGGAATCTCCTTCAATTTGGAAATACCTAGTGTTTTGTTTAAAACAATTTTGTATTGTGAATTGCATTCGTTTACTCCTTTCACTGCACTGAGCCTTTCCCATGTGCATTTATTTTAAGAAGGAAACATAAAGTATGCATGTGATACTGAATTGTTTCAACTCTCATTTTGTTTTCAGTGTTTCAGTCTCAGACAGCAATAACCAACCATGCCAAACAGAATAATAAATACCAGATCTTGTGGTGCTTACTCAGGCAAAATTTCCACTGGAGGTGACAGCAGTTCTGCCTGGGTAAGGACAGCAGGATTATGCCCAAGGTTTCAGTAGTTAAACAAAGTGAAAACTGATACTTTGTAAAAGAAGAAAAAACTTATCACCCTTTTCCCTGTAAAACACTATATTTTCTTCTCTTTTTTATTATTTTTTTTCCAGATTCTGGTGGGTTCCAGCATGGGTGGATGGCTGATGCTTCATGCTGCAATAGCACGCCCAGATAAAGTAGCTGCTCTGGTTGGAGTAGCTGTAGCAGCAGACCACCTTGTAACAAGTTTCAAGAGGCTTCCCATTGAGGTCAGTGTTGATGATTGGCTTTTGTGCAGTCTGAAAATCCATCAACTGTTTAAGAAACCCTGTTGTTCAAACTGTATTTTTCCTGCAGATTTGCAGTTAAGTTTTCTGTGTTTGTGGTGGATGTAAGCTAAAAATTAACATTAATCTAAAAGTCTGCAAAATACTGTGCATTGTAGGATGAGACTAGTGTGAGCACTACCCAGAATGTGTTTCTATTACTGTGCCATAGGGGATGTGAAGTCAGATCCCTACTGTGAGCAGTCCATTAGATTTCAGCGTTGAATATCTTATATTTGCATTGAAATTAAATCCTTGTGCTTTCAGGGATGGAGAAGTAGCTACTAATGTATTTGACATGACATTGGATGAGTATGACATACGTTGTGTGTGTAGGAAGGAAATTCTTCACATTAATGTGTAAAGACTATAAGATTTAGGTAGTGGGAACTGCCTTTCTGAGTTTCTTCCTTGATGATAATAATGTCCAGTCTTTAGGAAAGTAAATCAGGTGTTATATGGCAATAAATAACTTGTGCTTTAGAATAATTAAAATATTTTCCCGATTTTTTTGGTTTTTTTCTAAGGCACTTTGTAGTGTCAGCATTACTTCTCAGGACTAAGGTAAAAATCTGGAAGTACAGTATTTAGATACAGCGATTGTGCCAAATACTGAAAGGACTGATCAATGGAAAATTCCTTTTCCTAGGATTGTCTTTGGTTGATGTTCAGTGAACTGATTGAAGCCAAGGAAACTTACTGGTCACAGTGTCTATGCATCTTTTTTTTTTTTTTTTCTGATAGATTCTGACTGAGAAACTTAATTTCATTGATGAATTTTAACTAGATTAATTTGCAGGAGAGATGTGCAGAGCAGCTTTTGTGGCATGGTAAGGGGTTAGTCTTCTCAGATGCTGTGAGAAGAACAGGAATACACCTTTGCTAATGAAAATGAACAAGGTGAAATCTAATGATTCGAGGAGTTTTGGAACAGAAATAAGTTCAGGCACTCTAAAATACTCCTAACATCTGTCTTGTCTGTTCTTTGCTCTCTTTTTTTATAGGCACAAAAGGAAATAGAAGAAAAAGGTGAATGGAAGTTTCCAACAAAGCATAATGAGGAAGGATATTACTCCTTGACATATGACTTTATCAAAGAAGCAGAAAACCACTGTGTGCTGAATAGTCCTATTCCTATAACATGTCCCTTACGACTTATTCATGGCATGAAGGATGGTGATGTCCCTTGGCAGATCTCTATGCAAGTTGCCGATCGCGTGTTGAGCAAAGACGTGGATGTTATCCTGCGCAAAATTGGCCAACACCGCATGAGTGAGAAGGAGGACACGAAACTCCTTGTGAATACTGTTGATGATTTAATTGACAAGCTGTCAACACTAGCATAAGCTGCAGAGTAGCACTAGTGCATGAACTCTACACCTGACTCTTTTCCTTGAGTAGCAGAAGCCCTGTTCTTAACCAGATGATGGCAGGCCTGTGACTATCACAGTAGGAACTGAGCTTTATCTGCTGTTTTCTTACCTCTGTATTGTAAATACAGGTATTGTATTATTGCTGCATTTGCACACAGTCCAAAATGTAAAGGAGTGCTGCTCTTTTGTTCAGAACCTCTCCTTCAGCACTTAAACCTTTTTTTTTTCCACAGATTTCCTACAATTTTGTACTGAAATGTTGATTAATTTTTGTTACTATTGGCCTGTACAGTAAAACTTTATTTTCACATCTTTGAAACCTTTTAGTATTGTCCTTCTGCTGTAACAGTATTGTATCTTATGTCTGAAACCATCTGTGCAAGGCAAAATACAACTTGTTTACTGAAGTTAATTATTAGAAATAGTGAATACCATGAAGCACAATAAACAGATTTCAGATAAATGATTATTTTGTTCTTAAGTACTGTTAAAATTAAAAAGTGGAAGGCAGACTCTGATGGCATGCTTGGGGTGCTACGTAAGAAAGAATTTAACTTCTAAGAATACAGGGCCTCAAAATTTTAAGACTTCTCTTATCTATTGTTATCAGGAGGGTATATGTTGTCTTTTCCAGGCTGCCTGTTTGTAATAGTTCATTGTGGGCCTCCTGTTAAGGGAGCAATATATAATCTTGGTGTGAACTGAAACTGGATCTGTATGGTGACTTTTATAGTAACTTCTTTAAAGTGGGGGTACAGGTGCCATAGGGCACCACTGCCTCTTTCCCATGGCTTAGGAGCTGTAGTTCACTGAGAACAGTGTCTTCTGAGTTAGGAATTTGAGCTGCACAAGTGCAACCCTGAAACGCTGTAAATGCGATTGGATAGTTGGATAAATCTCGTAATATAAATCCATAGAATTTATAAGTAAATGGATTTAATTGCAAACATGACTATTACCTGTTTTTTCTCCAAGAATACAGTGTCATTCATACACTTGAGAGAGAGGAACTTAGATGAGAGGCTGAAATAAGTTCAGGCTGACCCTAATGTGAAACATCAGTCAAAATTATATAGTTGTTTTTCTGGTTTTATTATTTTAAGTAGTAAATGGCATCACTATTGTTACCTTAAAAGAGTAAAGCTCCCGGGGATATGATATTTCTAGAGTTTGTTTTTTTCTGTTTTAGTTGTGTCACTATTAGTGTGCTGTATGGGGCTTTGCTGAGGTAATGGGGTTTAATTTAAAAAACACAAATAACTAAAGCAAAAAAAAATCCACAACAACAACAACAAAACCCTAAATTTCAGATGAGTTTCTGTGAAGTACAGTTTTATTTAGGCTTCAATACTGCAAAAAAACAAGAAGCTGTCATGTAAAAAATTTGAATTTTGGTAGGAGAGTAAAAAAGATGGCTCTTGCTTAGATGCAGATTTTCTAATTCAACCATACCAATTCCCTAACTCAGTCATAGAATCATAGAATGGTTTGGGTTGGAAGGGACCTTAAGAACCATCTACTTCCACTCCCCCTGCCATGGGCAGAGACACTTTCCCCTAGGCCAGGTTGCTCAAAGCCCCATCCAACCTAGCCTTTGACAGTTCCAGGGATGGGGCACTCACAGCTTCTGTCTGCAACCTGAGGTAGGCCTTATGCAGGCAGACCTTCTTCTCTAACTTTGCCCTGGTAATTCCACTGGTATTTCTCTTTGCAAGCATTTTCCTTGTGTTCATGCTGGAAATTACCAGAGTTTTGATTGTTGTCAAACTTGGCATGTTCAGATGCCTGATAGAAAGGATAGTGATAACCAGGGAGATTTACATCCTACCTCTCACTAGCTCTTGACCTGTCAGGAAGTTCTGACAATCTTCACCACAATATTCGCATATTATGGTGTCATTCAAAATTGCTGCTGTTATGTCCCCTGATTTAGTGCCTGTGGCATTGCTTTTGTCTTTGCCAGTAGATGCCTACATAGTAAATTATTTTCCATTTAGTCATGTTTAAAAACAAGTATTTCTTTCCTCTATAGAAATACTGTATTAAACTAGGGTGTTGCACATTTGGGAAGCTCTGCATGGTGCAAACTTTTTAAATTCTTTGTAATGAATTATTATGTTCTGTTTTGGTTTTTTTAGTAACAGCTGATTTGTTGCCAAATACAAAGTATATTTTGTGAATATATAATATTCATTCAAATATACATTTCCTCAGCAATAAGCTTGATTCTCATCAAATAATCAGTGTCTTATGGTTTCAGAGTTTTACCAACTCTGTCTTGTACTGCCTGGGGTGGGGATTGGCTTTCTCCAAATACCTTAATCTATGCTTAATCATTTCCAGTAGTGCACTTAGCTGAATTTGTTAGTATTCTCGTTGTCTTTTGCTTTTGGCAGGTCTGAAAAATTACTTTTGGGTTCCTCTGTCGTTGAGTGTACTGCGGACATGTCAGGGCTGACACTGCTGTCACAGTACAAGGGAACTCTGGACACTAATCAAGCAACTCATCTGCTTGTGTTGTTGATTTTGATCAAACAATACCACTTGAATAAGCACCTCGAGGTATTCGCCTTCTACGTAAAGCTTAAGCTACATAATATTAACTTTTGCCGAGGAGTTATGATCATTCACGTGTCATGAGTAAATAACAACAAGCTGTTGTAGCTAGGCAGGATGTTTGATTAGCATACCAGAGGAGTAGATAGTAGTTTTCATGTAAAAGAACCACAAACATTACCAGCTGGCCTTGACTGTCCCTAGTCCTTATCAACATTTTCTTTCTGAATCTGTTGCAAAAGCAAACTGCTTGAGATTTAACTGGTGAAGCAAACTCTTCTGCCTTCTGAAAAGGAAAAAAATGATGAGGCAGGCTTTCCTGTGTTTGGGATTGAACTCTGCAGTAAACCAGGGTGTGCTGAAAGTTTCTAAAGGTTATTCAACTTGTTTCCTAATAAACAAGTGCTCTTATTCTGCTTATATTGAGCTGTACTTACTTGGGTTTAGATACATGTATTTTTATCTTGTTAAATATTCTACTTGTTTTGTCTCTTCTGTTGTTTGGCTTTGTTTATTTTTTTACTTAATTGATATTAAGTATTTCATGTAGTTTCAGTTTAGTTAACCTATTTTCTCTTGCATCAACACTAAATGCAAACAAATCAGTGTTCACAAAAAAACCCTTGGTGCATAGGCCTCAGAACTAACTCCTGCTGTTTCATTTTTATGTTAATTTTGATTATGAGGTCTCTTGGACATGGTGTTATTCAGTGGGACTAAAAGATTTACGGTACCATACTTTTCATATCAAATGAAAACGTGCTTAGAGAGAGACTTTGAACCAGTGATTTGTCTGCAGCTGCTCAAGTATTTTTAATGCTCTGGTTGTGCTGCAATACAGAGTTACAACATTTTCTGAACCACTGCCTCGGTCAGTTTCTACATTAGGATTGTGCTTGTCACTTCTCCTCGGCCCCCATCCTTTCCTCTGTGGCAGGAAAAAAAACAACACCACAGGTGGGAGGGAAAATCGTGTTCTGGGGAGATAACGAGATTTCAACTTCCTTGGTTTTTAAGTTACTCAGTTGTGCTGTCATAAAGAGGCCTACCTTGCCTTGTCAGATTTTTTGCTCTAAGTCATGAAAAGTTACATTAAAACTGAAGGCTTCCCTGGAAATAGAAGAGGGTTATGTGTTTCACCTGTCTCTAAGATCAGCAGTCTGTGCTTTGAGCTGATGAACTAATTCATTAAGATGTGTGTGAATGTAAAATTTCCCTAAGGCTTGGTGAATATTCATCAGCTGTATAAGGAATGCATATAGAAATACCACAAATCATTGCACATTCTCACCCTTCTACCTTTGTTCTCCAACCCAGCAGGGACAGGAAAGGCAGAGGGAACTCAGCCATTATGTTAAATAGCAGGCAGCTTGCTAAGTATGAGGTTTTCATGCCACTGTCCATAGTGCTTTGCTCCTGGCAAGTGTTTTCTAGGGGAAGAGATTACTGTTGGGAAAGAGAGGCAGAGATGATGGACAAAAATACACTGCTCATAGATTTACTGCTTGTTGGTTGGTTTCTGTAGCTCAGATTGACTTTCTGACTGTAGGACTCTAGGCAAATACGTATTTGCCTAGAACACAATAATGTTACTTACAGCCCTGGCCTTGTAATGGATAAATCTAAATTACAGGACTTATTGCAGTCTGGTTGCAGGCTTGACCTTGTATTTCTCTTTCAAGTCCTGCATATGTATGTTATATGGTCCAATGCTCCTATTCCATTAAAGAGAAAGGGGCATCCTCCATCTGACACAGTAATTGTAGCTTGTGCTACAATTGTAGCTCTCGGGTGAGTAATAGACATGTTCTCAGCCTGCTACCGTCACTTGATTTGCGTTTGGCAAGGGGATTCAGGCAGCTCTGCATTCAGATTTGGAAGGAAAAGCAAATGGCAGCTCCTAAAACTTCCAGCCATTTGGTCCTGAAATTAAAATGCATATTTAAAATGTTTTCAGGCTAGCACATGAAAGGCTGTGTTCTTTTTGGGCCTTCTGATCTGCACGATGTTGTCCACTGGCCTCCCACATGGCAACATGAGAAGGTCACTGCTGCCTGTCGGGGTGGAAGCAGGTGCTCATATCTGTGGCAAAGGTATGCTGAACAGTAGCACGCCTGGGCACTGGAGGGATGCAAATGGACTTTAGTATGGGAAAAGCAATCCCTGAAGGCTGGCTAGGATTGGGTCTGATCCTTACAAGAATCCTCGCTTTTGAGTTTTAATTGAATATAGTTTACTGGCAAAAAATGTGCCAGTGTGTGCTAGTCCTTAGGACAGTAACTCTTGAAAAAGTTCCTAACAGCAAAGCTAAATCCCTAACCATAAGAAGCAGCCTTTATTTAGTTAGGGGATTTGATCTTGTTTGTTTGTTTATTTGTAAATCTTGCTGTCTGTTTTGACCTATGTTTCAGAGAAATAAAGATGATACTTCCTTTCTGTTCTACTGGTAAATGTGTATTGCAATGTATAATTTTCAAACCAAAGTAGTTCTCAGGAGGTACCGTTTTTGTTGGGGACAGATGAACAATTGGTATAATGAAATGTATTGGTTTTCTTTCACAGGAGTCTGTCAATCCAGCACAAGACTTAAGAGACCGTGAGAACTAAAATGCACAATTTACCTTCAAGATCACCTTGAATTGTGGGAATGCTGACAATTATATCCACAGGAATTGGTTTCCAGTGCTAAGCTGGCAAGCTGCATGGAAGGTGGGCAGTGACTTACAAATTCCAGAAACACTTCCGGTCATGGCAGTCTTGGGAGCTGCCTTGTTCTGTAGGTTGCAGTGTTAGTGCATTCTGTTCTGTCACACAAATAGGAAGGTCCTTCCTTCCTGAATTACTTTTCTTTTAATCACAAATTGGAGGTGTTCAAACTATGTACTGGCTTGGGGATTAACATCTTCAGAGCTGGCAAAGGAACCTTTTTGCAGGTGAAAGGGAAGATGCTTGCTTAGCTTAGCGCTTTTAGTCTTTGAAGTTCTCTAGACTGTAGATTTCAAAGTAATGGGGAAGTTAGAATTTTTAAAATTAATGTTGTCCCCTGATTCTGATATCTCTGCCACTTGTTTTTGCACAGTTAATAAGATGGCAATATTCCAGTAGCTACTTTTTCCCCCTAGTCTGAGTAGTTCTCTTGTGTAGAACATCT